CAGCCATCACTTCCTTACTATCCTCTCCTAGGATAGTTTGCTTTGTTATCTTGCCCTCAGCAACACACTCCCAAAGACCTCTACCTCCTAGTGCTGTCTTGACAAGTCTTGACCATAACAAATAGTTTGGCCCCTTCAGAGTTACAGGTATGACAATTTTGGTGTGAGTTTCCATTTCTGGCAATTTTTTTTTTTTTTTCTGGAAAATAAGAACAGCTGAAGAACACCAAGAACTTTGCCAAAAATAGAATGAAAAAGATCAGATATTTGTGGAAACACAAAGAATAATAGAGAATGAGTGGTCTCAAGAGCAAGAATGCTCTGATACCATGTTAGAATTAGAGATTAAGAAAGTATTGTTGCTGGAGAATGAAGAACAAATAATAGAGAGAGAGAGAGAATTTCGTGAGTTAAGAAGAATAGAAGGAGGAAATATTTTCCTTAATTAAATCAATGTGCATTACAGCAAGATAAGTAGGCAAGAGGCCTGAAATAAAATTAATTTAAAATAATGCAAGTTGGTACACAACGGTCAAATGCACGTGGGAAGAGCAGAAGAAGAGATTTTGAATTTTCCCATATGGTCACCTTCCATCATGGTCAAGCTTTGCACTCATGGTCATCGTATTTGAGGTTGACCATTTGGTCAAGCTCCTCATGGTCACGCTTTGCACCCATGGTCATCGTATTTGAGGTTGACCATTTGGTCAAGCTGCTCATGGTCACGCTTGCACCAATGGTCATTTTATTTGTAGTTGACCATATGGTCAAGCTCTTCATGGTCACGCTCGTACCAATGGTCATCTTATTTGTAGTTGACCATATGGTCAAGCTCTTCATGGTCACGCTCGTACCAATGGTCATCTCTTCTTATCTTAGTAATTCCTTCATGTCAACAAAAAGAACCCCATAAATTCAGAGTATGTTATCTTTAGAAAAAATAGAGTAACAACTTCAGTAAATCCTCGTGGTTGTTTCCGATAGAAGTAGGAAAATATATATAGTCCTATCTTAATTGCATATTATCAGGGGATAATCTGAGATAGAAAGTAGTGAGATTGCTGATGGCATTTACCATTGTGTTTCCAGCAAAACAAATAGATCACAACTTTGAAGCCCAACAAAAAGAAGATCGGAAGCATATCGAGTTTTGTATTTGGGAAAAAACAGAAAACCGTATGGCGATTTCTCTCGTTCTCTACTTCATAGATATGGCGATTTCTCTCATTCTCTCCTTCCTCATATGATTTCTTCTCAGGTTCTTCTTAGATCCTTCTCAGATTCTACAAGCCGTAAGTTTCAAACCCTTTAGTTATTTGTGAAACCTTTAATCGGAATCCGTAAACGGTTCATATTTAGTGAAGTATGCTTTTCTAGAGTATTGTTACAAAATTTTAGATCCAGACTCTGCGTGGAAAGATGGTCAAGCTTTTTGGAGCATATAAGAAAGACACAAGCATCACTAAAGCATCTACTTAACATGTTCCTCGAAGCAGCATCCCTTCAGGATATGACGTAAGTTTATACTACTTTTGGGTTTTGTTTGCTTAAGACCTATATACTTGTAGAATTTGATCATTGGTTTGTTGTTTACATGGATTTTATTCTCAGAAGACGGGTGGTAGTGGGAAATCTCCATTAGACATATACTTGGATGAACCAGTGGTTGATATGGCTACCTTTAGAAGTTTGGATGTTGTGTCATACTGGAAAAATAATGCAAGCCGCTTCAAGGAGTTTTCATCAATGGCTTGTGATGTACTCAGTATTCCTCTCACACAGTGGCCTCCGAATCGTCTTTTAGTATAGGTAGCCGGGGTTTCAACAAATATAGAAGCTGCCTCCTACCCACAAATATTTAAGCCTTGATATGTGCAAGAAATTGGTTCCGTGTCTTTCAAGAAGTTGCTCATGAGTTTGAGTTTGCCTCTGAGATAGAGAAAAGAGTTCTTTGAGACTTTGTTGTTGAGATTTTATTGTTGTTTTAACTTTGAGATTTTGTTATTGTTGTGGCTTTGAGACTTTGTTGTTGTGCATAATGTCTTTGGAAATGTGTGTCGATATGGTCATAATATTTTTAGTTAAGTGTAGGTTTTTGTTTTTATGTGTGTCATATGCTCACTTTTTATCACAAATTATGTGTACGAAGAGGGCCAAGTAGAGATGTAGAATGTTACAAATATAATGGTCTTGTAGGTTTATGTGTAAGTTTGGACTTTATAACTTAGATTATAACTTATACAACAATAATGGAAGAGTACTTATGCAAATATAAAGATTAAATAGTAGGACAAACTTGATAATTTACAGATTTTACAAAATTAAATTAAATCCAAATGTATAAATTATATACAAATAAATCATTTACAGATTTTATAAAATTAAAATATGAAAATCATTGTGAATAATATGAATATGAAACATATAAATTAAACAATACACAAATAAAAAAAAGTAACTAGAAGTATTATTGGGTCATTTGGGTGTTCATGGACTTGTCCATTTGGACATGATCTTCAATAATTTTGGACACTTTTTTGGACCACTGTTCAAAACTAAAATGGTACAACTGGTCAAGCCCAAATGGGCTATGGACGACCCATTTCACAGTTGTGTTTAGAGTGTAATTACTCAAAATTTTAACCTAACCTAGCACCATCATATCTCTCTCTCGCGAGATTTGCGATTTCAGATCTGAGCCGGCATAACTTCTGATCATCGCGAACCATGGAAAGGCGAAGACGAAAAAGAAGCACTAGCAAAGAGAAAGAATAAGAAGAAGATCGAAACTCCTGCTTCAAAGATGGACAAAGCTGAGAAGAGGAGGATAATTAAAGAAGATCAAGAAACTGGAGAAGTTGAGGAAGCCTGAGACTAACCAAGAAAGATCAACGTAGGATTGAAAAGTAAACACATACTTTGCTTGTGGGATTACGAGAATCTTTCTTATCCTAAGGTTGGAGCATTCACAAAGATTAATGCACAAATTGTCCACGATGTGCATGAAGAAGTGTTAATGAATAAATGAAAAGTTTCATCAATTTTGAAGTTTTAGAGAGCCAAAAATTTCATATTTGAAATTAAAGAATATCTTTTGAAAATGCTCAAAGAAGAGGATGAATATAGTTGCATCTATATTTGGGCCGTGTTTTTAGTCCATTCAGAATAGTTGTGCATCAAATAGGATCCACTAAGTAATTCAAAATAGTTACAAGTTGTAAGCCATAAGAAAGCCATAATCAAATGCAAAAAATAGACAAGCGATGAAGCCAAGAAAACAGTAACACCAGACATATAAATATATAATACACAAAAGAGAGTTAAGGGAAACTGACCTTTTCTCGTTCACTCCACCAATCATCAAACATGTCAATTCTTCCCAAGTTATCATACCCAATCCTTGTCCTATTCTTAGTTAACCTCCTAAATCTGGTGTATTTCTTCCTGCAGTTGTCGTATTTATTCTTGAAAAGATTATAAGTGATATATCCTCTCTTAATCATCTCTTCAAACGCCTCAATGATGTTCTGTTTTCATATTTTATTTATAGATGTACTTGTCCTATTTCCCTTTCTTTTCTCTTCGGCATAGAGTTGGAAAAAAACCTAGTCTCTTTAGGAGACCAATTCTAAAACACACCAAATTTAGTGCCAAATTAATCAATAAATCACATACTCTAAAACATAAACAAAGAAATAATCACAGACGCTAGAGCATAAACAAATAAACAAGACCAGACATATAAACTCAAATTCCATATATGATCAGACTAATGAATCAAACCAGGATGACAAATGCAAACAAGATCAGACCAAAAAACTTACATCTTTTGTCATCTTAAAAATGGCTGAGAGTGAGAGCATGGGAAGGACTGATATTAGAGAGCATAGCTCAGCTTGTGAATATGAGCCTGAAAATAAATAAAAAAGAAGATAAAAGAAGCACATGAATCACTCTCAGCTTGTAACACATTTTAAAACTTATGATCAGTGAATCATAACTCTAGAACATAAACAATCACACAAGCTGGTATCAACAAAGAAAAACCATAACGAGAGATAACCAAGGGAAGCTTACGAGAGAGAGAGATAGCTTGAGAGGGTCTGAACTTGAGAGTGTGAGTTTGAGAAGAGAGAGCCTGCAAGAAAGGACAAAACCAGACTAAGAACTCATGTGTGTAACTTGTAAAAACATCAAACTGTTTCTAGTATCAAAGACAGTAAATGTACACCAAAGAAAGTAGAAAACGCAAACAAATAAAGAGATAAAGAACGATATGAGCAAACCCATCAAAAATAAAAGAACAGAAAACACAAATCCAACAAAATTCAAGAGCTATATGCCCAAAACAGAGTCTCCCTTTGTGATAACATTTATAGCATTAACAGAAGACACAACCTTTTGAAACTGGTACAAGACACAAACAAAGTTTCAGAACTCAACAAGAGTTTAAGAACTTGACTAACATATTTCAAGTATCACATATAAAAACCCTAAACGATTCTTCCTCCATGGCAAAGGAAACCCATAAGTAAGACATGGAAAAAGAACAACTTTATTATTCAAAGACATGGCAAGGAAACCCACAAAGCTATAGATCTGAAGAGGGTCGACGAGAGATACTTTTCGAAACGGAAACCCATAAGATTGGCCTAGCTTCTTAACGGAACTGGAAAAGCTCACTACGTTGCGGATTTGCTTTCCAGATTTTAAGATTTTCTATGTTCCTAGGGCACATAACAGATTTTCCGATTCCCTAGCTAAGACTGCTCGATCCTTCTATCGAGATTTGGTGTATGTTGGTTGTTCTGTTCCGGTCTGGATTCCCAGACCACCTCAAGCTTAAGTAATAGATCAGCCGTTCGTTGTCAAAAAAAAAAAAACCAATATATTGGCGATTATATGTGTCAAACTAACTTCTTAGTTATATCATCTTTAGAATATTTTATTTTCGAAAGTTTTATAGTAACTCTGTATCAATAAAATTGTTTAGCAGACAAAAAAAATACATTTATCAATCTCAAATCAAATTTCCACAAATAATATAAAAAACTTGGAGTGATGAGAAATAAATTCCTACTACAACTTAAGTCAAAAAACAACAAAAAAAAAAAGAGTTCAAAATATTTCTTTTTTTCTTCTCTTTTTTTTTTCATTTTTCTCTCAATCACCTTGAATCATCACATTGCATAAAAAAGACAAAACAATGAAATGAAAAGTAAGTGATGAATTAATTTGATGAGGGAGTTGATAGATAACAAACGACATTGACACTTCTCTGAAGCCATCATCTAGTTCTTGAGTTTCCAAGTGTAAGTTCTAAATCATCTGAAACGCATTCTCCATGTATCATTTCTCCTTCCCAAGGCTTCACCATGCCAAATGCAAACTCTGCCGTCATTCCATCAGCCATTGGTACATCCGAATTTTGATCAACACCAGCAGGAATAGCTGGAGAGCAGTTTCCACTTTGTCCAGGAGTCCACATTGGTGAACTACTATCTCCCATTTTAAAAGCTGTTTTGTCGAAAAAAGGGTTTCTTGAAACTAAGCTGAAGGTAGGAGAAGATGGTCCGCTTTGTGGGGTTTGCATTCCAGAGAGCCATCCAGAGTCAGGGATGGTTACCTGATCACAAGTAGGGCTTCGAGGCAACGGTGGAGTCACGGGAGCGCTTATAGAGTTTCCCTGGAAGAAAGGAAGCTTGGAAGGTGAGTTTGAAGAGAGGTTTTTGAGCCAAGGGATTAGTGAGTTAGCATCACCAAATGGATTTGTAGGACTAGGGAATGAGGAAGATGAAGGGCTTGGATTGTAGGAGCCACGAGGGCTAGGTTGGTATGATGAGCATGGACTAGCTGAAGTAAAACCATTCATGAGTTCCATTCGATCCATTGGTTTGCATCCCTACAAGAGAGTTTATAAAATGCAAAAGCTGGTTAGGAACGAACAAAATGATATAATGATTGATAATTGAAACTCCATATGCACCAAGGAGAAAAGAAAGTAAAGAACAATGATTTTGTTTTGTATACAATGGTCAAAGAACAATCTTTGGTATTGCAAAAGCTGGTGAGCACGAACAAGAAAGTTGAAAATCCAAATGCAAAGTACGAAAAAAAAAAGAACAATGATTTTATTTAGCATTTTATAGTCAAATAATTCCATTTTATTTTCCTGCCCACACAAGCAAAACCCAAACATCATCATTAGGTGTTGGCAAAAGAGTAATCATTTTCCAGTCTCGTCCATTGACTGATTCTACAAGATCCGACACTTTTATTGATTTTAAGTATTTAACTAACAACAAATAAACACTCGTGTTAAGTCCTTTATTATGTGAAAAATGGCTAGTTCCTGGAAGTGGAAGGTTAATTAACTTACTTTTCTAGTTAACAAAATTACTTTTCTGTTGTAACAAAATGTAAGTGTGAATTTTACCAAAGAAAAAAGAAAAGAAAAGAAAAGAAGAAGGAAATTCAGAGAAAGCGTCGCCAGTCTGAAAAGGAACAAAAAGTCTTCCTCGATCGTTGTATACTAAAGTTTTTATTTAAAGCAAAATGCGACCAAAGAAAAACACAAAAAGAAAATTTATAGCCCAAAAAAAGAAAACGAGAAAAAAACGAATATATGGTTAAATTGACGATAGTACCCTAGAAAAATATTGTTAGTGTTGTGGAATAAAGAAGAAGGTTTGTTGTAACTCTGTATATCTTATTCATCACGTGCACATACATATATATACATACAAAGAGAATAAAGCATATTCCTTAGGAGATAAGGATTACAACAATAAAGGGGATGATTATCCTAATCCTATAATGATTAGGATAACTACAACATATGGATAAACACAAGGGAGGATAGTG